TTTTTTTTTTTTAATACCTTCCCTTTTTTTTTTTACCTTCCTTTTTTTTTCACCTTCCTTTTTTTTCTTTCTTTTTTTTTCACCTTCCTTTTTTTTCACCTCCTTTTTTTTCTTCTTTTTTTTTTCACCTTCCCTCTTTTTAACTCCCTTTTTTTTTTTCACCTTCCCTTTTATTTTTACACCTTCATTTTTTAACTCCCTTTTTTTTCACCTCCCTTTTCTTCACCTTCCTTTTTTTTACCTTTCCTTTTTTTCACCTCCCTTTTTATTTTATCCCTTCTTTTTTTTTTTAACCTCTTTTTTTTTAACCTCTTTTTTTTTTTACCTTCCCTTTTTTCCTCCCCTCCTTTTTTTCACCTTCCCATTTTGTTATACCTTCATTTTTTTCATACATTCCTCTTTTTTTTTAACCTCCTTTTTTTTCACACATTCCCTTTTTTCCTCCCCCTCTTTTTTTCCCCTTCCTTTTTTTTTTACCCCCCTTTTTTAACCTCATTTTTTTTACCTTCCCTTTTTTTTTACCTTCCCTTTTTTTTATCTTCCTTTTTTTCACCTTCCTTTTTTTTAACCTTCATTTTTTTTACATTCCTTATTTTTAACCTCCTTTTTTTTATTCCTTCCCCTTTTTTTTTACACTTTCCTTTTTTCCTCCCCCTCTTTTTTCCCCCTTCCCTTTTTTTATTTCCCTTTTTTCAGCCTCTTTTATTTCCCTTTTTTTTCCCTTCATTTTTCTCCCTTTTTTTTTTAACACCTTCATTTTTTTCACCCTTTCTTTTTTTATACCTTCCTTTTTTTTTCTTTACCTTCCTTTCCCCCCTCCTTTTTTATCTCTTTTTTTTTACCTCTTTTATTTTTTAACCTTCCTGGGTTTTTTCTTCCTTTTTTCTTTCCTTTTTTCCCCCTTTCTCCTTTTTTTCCCTTCATTTTTCCCCCATTCTTTTTTTTTTAACCTTTCCTTTTTTCCCTCCCCTCTTTTTTTACCTTCTTCTTTTATCTTCCTTTTTCCCCCTCTTTTTTCTCCTCTTTTTCTCCCCTTTTATTCCTCTTTTTTTTCTCCTTTTTCTCTCTTTTTTCTCTATTTTCTCTGCTTTTTTTCTCTTCTTTTTCTCTCTTTTTTCCTCCCTTTTTTCCCCTCTTTTTTTTCTCTCCTTTTATTCCTCTTTTTTCCTCTCTTTTTTTTCTTTTTTCTCTTTTTTTTCCTCCTCTTTCTCCTCCTTTTCTTTTCTTTTCTTTTCTTTTCTTTTCTTTTCTTTTCTTTTCTTTTCTTTTCTTTTCTTTTCTTTTCTTTTCTTTTC